TGCCCAGAAGGATCTGTGTCTGAGGCATGTTTTGAAGATCATTGTAAATCAGGAAACAGCAAGGTGGAGTGAAGGGAAACTGGAAAGAGCTCTCAGCTTACAAATGTATAATGCAAGAACATGGGCCCTCGCTCCAGTAAACTGGAGCCAACAGTTACTAGACCAAGTTCCTTGAGCAAAAAGTCATTATTATGACTAAACCATTCTGTATTTATAGAGAAGTAGTGTTAGAATACAAACAGTTCAAGCAGCACTCTTGCACTCAATGTTCTTTGCTTTTTCCTGCATGTGGTTTTTATTCCAGCATTAATTGTGATTATAAATCATTCCCAACCTGCTTTGGAATGAGTTTACACAGACTTCATGCTGTTGAAAACACAGAACACTTATACATACAAAACATAAAGCACTCAGTAACTCCAGGGGTAAAAATACCATGTATCAGGAATTAAACCACAGAAGATTCAAGAAGTAAATATCACTGAAATATTTCTCTGTCTGCTGCCACAAGTGGCTACAACTACTTCTGCAGGACACAGAGAACTCTGCAGTGGGCAAAGCTGTCACTGACAGGTGTCTTTGAGAGGTACCTGGGCCAGGAAAAGCCACAAAGGATGAGATCTGGAGATGAAAGAGTCTTGGTAAACCTGAGTGATGACCAGGATAGGGAAGGATTGTGGACATCTAACCCCTGCCTATGACCATCCAGCCAGAAAGGATGAGGCCAAAAAAGCTTGAAAGGGAAAATAATAGATTATATTTCTTTTTTTACTGAGTTGAAACATATCAGCCCCACGAGGAGAATGTTATGTGAACAACCAGGAGCACACATTCCCCTGAGAGCCATGGAATGTGAGGCCTTGGCAGGCAGGCCAGGTGCCAAACTGGGACAAAGCGACCCTGTCGCAGCTTCCCTACATTTTGTGGGGAGGTAGAAAAAAAAAAAAAGAGGTTGTTAAATCTCACATAGCTTTCAGATCAAATTTTTGTCCTGTTTCACTTTGGAAATCTCTTGAACAAGCTCAGTTCTTCAAAGCTGAGACTGCAAATCTCCCAATCTCCCAGAGAAGGTTCCTGTGTTTAATAAGCTGTTTTGACTGAAATTTAAAGAGAAAGTAAAGATTTCTGTTGGCCTAGCAATAGAAAACGTGGCCCAGACCTGTAACCCCATACCTGACCAGACAGAAATGTGTACTCTGTTAAAAACTGGAGATTCCTCAGAAACACTGGCATGAGAATAACTCTGGTTCTCCTGCAGTCACCAGCAGAAAGTCTTATAATCTCTAATGGTTATACCTACAACTAATTTTATTTGGAAAGAAGGTGCTGGAAGGCAGTGCCTGAACACCAACATAACAAACCTGTAAGTTACATAGTGGATCAGATACTGGGCGAAATAACTTATAGTTCTCTCTTTTCAACCATTCCACCACAAAATTAGCCATTGAAGTGCTGTGTGTCCCCAGAGCATGCTGAATGCTGACAAGCAGGTAAGCACAGAGCAGCTGAAATACCATTAACATGAGCAATGCTTGTAATGAGCTTATAATAGAATGGAGCCATGATTCCCCTGGTTCAGACTTTCTTGAATGACCTGGGTAAAATTCTGGTTGCTCCTGAGGACCCTGTCAAGGTTCCCTGGTGTCTTCTCTCCAAGGCCTTCAAGCATGATAATGCACATGACCCTGTTAACTGCACCAGGAGTCCCAGAAACAGGGGATAAGGCCTTTCTACACCACCACAGTGAGACATGGACTTGAATCACTTCCTTTGGCGACCACACTTTCTATCCCAGGGCACACAGATACAAAAGGCACACAGATACAAAAATAAATACTGCATCAAGACAGTGAATGTCTCCAGAGAATTTCACTAAATGAAAAATGAAATCTAACCCCAGAAGAGACCCTTGACAGGTTTTGTTTTCTTTAAGCTTTGTTTTTCTTCCTTTAACACAAACATGGTACATCATCTGCCGAAATTCAAAACCGATGTAGACTTTCAAACACTTCTCCCAGCTTGCTGTGGTACTCAAACGGCAGCCTGTCCTTTCCCATCCAGTCTCATTAACGTCTCTCATCACCGAACATTTCTTACAATTAAATCCCAAATATTTGAAAATTAAAGAGATAGAAGTGAACAGCCCTGACTGAAGAACGTATTAGTCCTCCCATTTCTGCCAGCATGGATAGGAACATATGTGCCCTTTTCAGGCTGGGATGTTCACTGAAAAATGTTCTAAATCCACCTGTCTTGATTAGTATGGTTTGCATGGAGCAGGCCAGACATACTGTAATTCAGGGCTTTTATTTCCACTTTCATTTCAGCATTTCTTTTCTACTAGCAGCCCCATTTTCTGATTCATCTATAGTAAAATGAGCAAAACACTTTGAAAACATTTCTGGAAATCTACAAATCAGTAGATAAAGTAAGTGAGGTTGATCAATTTGCTAAGATGAAAAGGATTAGAGGCAATTTTCAAAGGACCAGATAGTAAAAATGCTTATTTTTACAGCAAACTCCTCAGTTATTCCATGATTTAAAAATTCCTCATTAAAAAACCCAGGGTTTCTTTGGTTTTTGTTGTTTGTTTGTTTTGTTTCTGTTTTTTATTTTTTAATTTTTCAGCCAGTATTACCATGAGCACTGGTTAGAAAATATGGTTTTCCCACCTTGGAACATAATGAGGACAATAATTCAAATACAAAAAAATGTGTCCCAAAGCAGCTGAATTTATATCTAGGTTCTCAAAGCTCCTGTGAAGCTCTTGTGGCCTCCTCATTAGAGAAACAAAGAAAGTATATAATCTGCAACCAAGTCCTGCCAGAAAATTCAGACAATAGGGCAGAATAAGCCCAAAAGACAAGTCAGTTTTAGCTCTTGTGTTTTTCTGCAGCAGTTCTGAATTAAATGCAGTTCCTTAGTCTAAAGACAGGAAAAATCCTTTCTTGAAAGCTCACGGCTTCTGTAGTTTGGGCCTTTTTTCTTGTCAAAGACCAGCTCACATCAAGAGCTGAATCAAGGTTTGGTTTCCTCAGGCCCCACCTAACACTTCAAATGGAGAGCCATCTTCTCTCACTGACAGACTGCGAGAATGATCAACTTCCAGTTGACCCTGAAATTGTGCAGGATCTGCTGCTCAAACTGAATCCCTACAAATCTATGGGGCCTAACAGGATTCATCCAAGAATCCTCAAAGAGCTGGCTGATGTCATCACAAACCCTCTCTCAATTTTTGGGTGGTCTTGGGAATTCAGAGAGGTCCCAGCTGACTGGAAGCTGGCAAATGTCCCAATATTCAAGAAGGGCAAGAAGGTTGGACCCAGGAAACTACAGGCCTGCCAGTCTCTCTTCAGTGCCTGGTAAAGTTATGGAGAAGACTATTCTGGGAGGTATTGAAAAACACCTGAAAGGCAATGCAGTCACTGGTTACAGCCAGCAGGGCTTCATGAGGGGAAAGTTCTGCTTATCAAAACTGATTTCCTTCTGTGACAAGATAACCCACCTAGCTGATCAAGGGAAGGCAGTTGATGTAAACTTTTTGGATTTCAGTAAAGCTTTTGATACTGTCTCTCACAGGATCCTTCTGGACAAGTGTCCAGCACACAGTTGGATAAACACATCATGGGGTGTGTGAGCAATTGGCTCATGGGTGGAACACAGAGGGTAACAGTGAATGGGGTAACACCAGACTGGTGATCTGTCATAGTGGGGTTCCCCAGGGCTCCATCTTAGGCCCTGTACTCTTCAACATTTTAATAAATGACTTGAATGCAGGACTGGAAGGGATACTCAGCAAGTTTGCAGATGACTCAAAGCTTGAAGAACCTGTTGACTTCCTCAAAGGCAGGGAGGCCCTGGAGAGAGACTTCAACAAATTAGAGGACTGGGCAATCACCAAACATTTGAAGTTCAACAAGGGGAACTGCCGGATTCTGCACTGGGATGGGGCAACCCTGGATGTTTGTACAGACTGGGGAACGAGATGCTGGAAAGCAGTGCCATGGAAAGGGACCTGGGGGTCCTGGTCTATGGCAAGTTGAACATGGGTCAGCAGTGCCCTAAAAGACAGGAGGGCCAAACATGTCCTGGGGGGCATCAGGCAAAGCATCAACAGCTGATCAAGGGAGGGGACTGTCCCACTCTGCTCTGCACTGGTGTGGCCTCATCTTGAATATTGTGTGCAGGTTTGGGTGCCACATTATAAGAAAGGTATTAAGCTCTTGGAGAGTGTCCAAAGGAGGGCAATGAAGATGGTGAAGGGCCTTGAGGAGAAGCCGTGTGAGGAACAACTGAGGACACTTGGTCTGTTCAGCCTGGAGAAGAGGAGGCTGAGGGGAGACATCATCGCAGTTACAACTTCCTTACGAGGGGAAGAGGGGGAGCAGGCACTGATCTCTTCTCTATGGTGACCTGTGACAGAACCCAAGGGAATGGACCAAAGCTGTGTCAGGGGAGGTTTAGGTTGGATATTAGAAAGAGATTCTTCACCCAGAGGGTGGCTGGGCACTGGAACAGGCTCCCCAGGAAAGTGGTCACAGCACCAAGCCTGACAGAGTTCAAGAAGCGTTTGGATGATACTCTCAGGCATATGGTGTGGCTTTTGGGGATGGTCCTGTGCAGAGCTATGAGCTGAATTTAATGATCCTTGTGGGTCCCTTTCAACTCAGCATATTCTGTGAGAAGCATAAAAGGCATGCTTTTGATGCACTGACAAATCACCTGCCATTGGATGGTTGTTTATCTCACAAAAACGTTACTTCTCCCATGAAAATGGCTTTCCTGATTAAATAATTGGACTAAATAATATTTTAGCTTACATTGAATGATGACAATATGAATCATACAGCTCATATCCTTTAAAAAAATTTAGCTGTACTTCAAAATACTGGGCTTGACTGCTGTAATAACTAATGGACAACTGCAGGACAATTGCTTCTGCAATGTCAGACAAGCTTTAATATAAAAAAATATATAGAATAAAGATTTCTACTACTTACCAGCACACTGATTGTTTTCATCCAACTGGAAACCAAATCGACACATCAGAGGTCTCGTAACAGTAGGGTAGTTAGGAACAGGGCCTGGTGCTGGGGGCGGTGGATAAATATTTGAATAAGGATTCAGATACGGTGATCGATACACTGGGTTTGTTCGGGGTACGCATAAATAGCCACCGTTCTGGTTGACACACACCATATCTCCTCTGCAGGCCTCAGGAATAGTCCGACATTCATCAATATCTGGAAGTAAATTGCAAAAGTTAAAAAGAGTGATTGCTCTTTAATGGAAGCTATAAAAAAAAAAGTTAACATATTGTTCTCAAAACCTTGTGAAAAAAAATTATATTCTCTATCAAAAAAGCTAATCCTTCCTTGTGGAGTCTCACTTTGAAGTTACATTATACTAAAATAGGGAACATCCCATATATTCAATATATCCTGTGATCTACCTGTTTTACTTCACTAATAGAGGATAGAGGGAGAGGAGAAAGCCTGCTTTGCTATTCCATAGAAGTTTGGTTTGAATGCTGATTTACACATGGCTGCAGCATGCTACTGCCTGTTCCTGCTAGAGGGTCTGTCCAAACCACAACATGCAGATCAGGATTTCAAACACTGGTGGTTTGGTTTGCCCAGCTGTGAAACTTGGATCCTGATTTGGAACTGTAAAGCTCTTTCCCACAGAAGAAGTTAGGGATGTTCAGATCTGGGGATGCAGTTCAGGCCTCTTTCTTGCTTTGATTGAGATTGTTGCTGAATTAAATTTATAAAGATACAACTGTTTTAGCCAAACCAAGCATCCACCTGGTTCTCTGGGCACTGATGCAATAGGTTATGACAGGGCAAGCTGGGGGATTTTCCCTTTGTGTTTGAGTGACTTTAGTGCATGTAGAAGAAGCTGCCCTGGAGACTGAATGCCACTGATAAAAAGAGGCTATTGGACAACGTGTGGGTTTGGTTTCCCTATGCTGTCCCGACTCAATTTACTTGGAGTTTCAATGCTGAGCAGTGGAAAACTTTATCCAAGCCTGCAGGTGAAAACTGCCAGCAAAGACAGGAAGTCCTGAGTTTGAAAGAGAAAGAGGAGGGTGAACAAGCCTTGTTCTTTGGCAACTAGACTGAGCTCCTATCGGAATGCATCATTGCTATTTGAGTAGCACCGACAGCCTATTAGTATCTCAACAAGGTCAAAGATCAGTATATACTTGTGCTATGTAAAGACACACATATTTATATATACACATATTTTTAATGTATACATTTATACAAACACACAGAGCGAGAACTTTTTAACAAAACATACTAAGAGCACCACAATTTTAACTCAAGCAATTCAGGACTTCTGAACCCAAATTGAAATGTATTGATTTAATTAAAATCCTACCTATGCATTGCCCAGAGGCACGGTCCAGGTCAAACCCATTAGTGCATTGTTGCTAAAATGAGAGAAAAAAGGACACTCAGTGACTACAAAATGAGAGGGTTGCAGAGTCAAATGCTCATCCGGATTACTATGATTAGTACAATTTTCCAGCACTATACAGTACATTAAAGGTCGCTTCTCCAAAGAACAGTCAGCAAGGCATGAACCTGAGGCCTCAGCACGTGTGCCAGCCCCTTAGCTCAGGAGGGGGTTCCCTCAGGTGGTGACAGTGTCAGGCTGTTCCTCTTCCCAGGAGTCCCCAGTGTACAAGGTGTTATAGGCACCATATCAGTTGTTAACACAGAAGTTACAGTCTTCTAGTCTGGGCTCTTGTTTCTGGCAGAACAGGGAGTTTTTCAGCTAAAAGGTACTTACTACCTCTCTAACAGGCTCTAAATCTCCCTAGACAGCCCATTCAGTGCACAGTACATTAGCCATTGACTGATCTGGAACCACAGTTAAAATAATAACAAGTTTGATAAAAATAAGGCTTTTCCTTTACACCAAACCTTGTAATTTTTAGAGGATAAATCTTTAGATGACACATGTTCCAGGTATGCAAGGTTAGTGAAAGCCTTGTTCCTTCCTATTCTCTGGTGCTGGTCTTTATCAGGGCTGCAGCCTTGAGTCTTCAGTATCTCCTCTGTGACCCTCAGCATTTCTAAACCAATGAGAGTCCTGGTGATGACTGTCTCAAAGCCCATTTAAATGATTCCCTGCTCTCCCTAGTTCTTGAATGGGCCTCCAGATATTTAGCAAGAGGTCAAGCAATTGACACAAGAACAGGATCATTGCCAGTAAATAGGTTGTACTAAGGAATGTAAGCAAGAGATATCCAAAAAACAGGAACCACTGAAGTAACCAGAGGGCAGAGGGATGGAGTGTGTTCAAGATTCTTTTGTTTCTTAATGATAAAGACACTTATTTTTGGACTTAATGGAAGAAATCAGTGGAAGAGTAAAATACCCAGTTTGTGAATGGAAAAGTAGTTAAGTTCTAGATGGGAGACGAAGGGTTAGAGGCATGAGTCAGTGGAAGTGGATCATTACAGGAGCTAGGGATGGGACATGAAGTGAAGCACACGACACTGTTTGGACTGCACCCACCACTTGCATCTATGAATACACAAAGCCACTGCTAGAAGTGTCAGACAAGTATGGAGGAATTCTGCCTCCATTTATTTTGGCATTCCAAGATGTTTTGGTATCATGTTGTGGAAAGCCAAGATATTCTGATGGGAGCATGTATAATCACCCTCACGTTTTAAAGAATGTCCCTACTCTACCTTTTGTTCTCCTTTTTATGCTGTGGCACATACACTACACCTAGGTTAGCTGGAAAAGTTGAGACAGTTTTTAACAAAATTATTTTCTTTTGGACAGTAAATGGTGATTCAGAAGCACTGAAACTACTGTAGAACTGGTTTCAACAAATTTATAGAACTTTATTCTAGAAAAGATTCCAATATTGTTGAAATTACCAGTTTCAATATCTTCAGAAAGAACGCATTGCTGGGATTTCAGTTTCAAGTTGCTTTTTGCTTAGACTTCAAAAATCAATTTACGTTACAAGATGTTTTTATAAAAATTGCAGTGGAAACAATATTTTTTAAATTATAAAACCAAACCCTTAAAGACATCTCAAAAATTCCCAGGGGTATGAAAAGCATTTCCCATACAGATCCAATGTTCACAAAAATATCAATAAGCATGCCATGTGCAGGAAATTTTCAATGTAATAGAACAAAAACAACTACATTTCAGAGACTTTTGGCAAATGTATTTAGAAACACAGCTCTGGACACTGAGTATATCTGGATTATCAACTAGAAATCCAAACTTAACATGCCTTTGGGAACTGTTTTTCCTAATTTAAAGTCCACATGGAGCCCAAGCCCACAAAGAACTAATGCTTCTGCTATTTCAAGAACTGGACTGCTTTACTTCCATCCACCCTCAAAAGTCCCACCTCTTGAACAGAAATGGTTTAAAGCATAAGTGAAAACAAAAACTAGGATACAGTCAATCAGGACCATAGTCTAAAATTAAACAGTCTTAAGATAAGATCCCACTATACACAGAAAATGTCTATTTATATGAATGAATTTTCCAAGTGTGGATGTTTCCCACAACAGAACTGAGTGGTCCCTGCTCTTGTGGGATGGCTTTTCTTATCTCCTGAAGTGTTCAGTCTAGAGGCAGAATCAGGTTTTCAGTGAGGTCCAGGTTTCTACAGGGATATTTTTCTGAGCTGGTAAGGATGAGTCAATAAGCTCAATCCATATTCAACTCCAGAAACCTGCTGGCTCCAAGTTCTCCCCTCTAAACCCTTACACCACACAGCTTCCTTTTCATGTAAACCCCAGACCACAGAGCTTCCTATCCACCTGCTGGCCAGTGAAGTTTCATGCCATATAGTGCTTCAGTACAAAACAGTACATGCATCTCTGCATGCACCTCTCACCTGTGCTTTTCCAGGGCTTGAAAGGCAGACAGCCAGTGTGAAAGCAGTCAGTATCCTGTAATGTGCATAGAAAATAGGCTGAAAACCTGTCTGATATCCAGGTTTATTACATAGAATTAAACACACATGGAGAAAAATTCATTTCTAATGACACTTCAGTGTATTCCATAGTTTGCTAACATGAATTTGGCCTCTGGAGAAGGAGTAATACAACTGTGGGCCAGATTCAGATCTCAGAGTAACTAATTTTACTACAGTTTCATGCAACTGGGATTGGAATCTGACTGTATATGTCTATGGACTAATCTAATTGTTATGACACCCCATGCAGCAGCTGTTAAATGAACGAAGTGTGCAATATTGAATAAAGCATTTTTGCCCCTCTCGGACACCTTTCTTTTGGGAACATGGAAGATTTTCTTGTGCATTGTGCACATTTCACAGATGGGTAAACCAGTGCACAGGCCCTGCCTAAGCTCCCAGCGCGGTGCGTTGGCAGGGCTGCAGACATGTCATGCAGGAGGTCCTGAATCCAAGCCAGTTGCTGTAACTGCTAAACCGCATTTCGTCCCCAGGAGACTGTAGCTGAGATTAATCCATTTTTGTGGGGCCAGATCCTGTCCCTTTACTCCGTCTTGAGAATACATTGCTCTGGAAGTAGACTCTCTGTGCCAGGTCACAAGCTACTAGAAGCTGTTCTCTTCAAAGGACCCTTCCCCAGCTATATCATCTTCACATCTAGTGGGACCTTCCAGGTCTCTCCACCACAACTAAAAGAGGATCCCTCGTTAACAGAGCTCTACAGTTATTTTTGGAGCTCCTTACCTGGAGTTCCTTACCTGGAGCATAAAAATTCTGGTCAAGTAACCTTCCACCTCCAAGTATTTATTAACAGACAGAAAAACATGAAGTGACAGTCAGAAGTTATTTTTTTCTAAGTACTACGGATTTCAGTGTTTTCCTGCCGCCTTATATAAAACTTCTCAATAATATTAGACCCACACCTTGCTTATCTTGGATTGTAGTTCTGAATGGCAATTGTATACAATATATTCCCACAGAACCAGTACAGGAAGCAGGGGATATTTTAGGTGGCTTTAGTTCTACTACCTAAGCAAGCTGCCAACTTTCTCTCTTAGAGCTGTCTCTGATTTCCAGCGCAAACTGAGCTGTTGAGCAAGACTTACAAATGCATCAGACAAAACCACACACAAACAGTGACTGACACATTAGAACAAATTTGTTTTAAATGAGAAGACAGGGACAAGCTCTGAAAAGTAAACATAAACCTTAAAATGGTTTTTCATAGTGCTGTGAAGACAAATTGTGCTTGTTGGCAGCTTTGAGTGACAAGGAAAGGCAAATTCTGCGGAGTTTCCCTTAGAGTCCGATGCAAAGCAATTCAAGCTACAATGTCATTCATTTAGGCTTGCACTTAATTTATTGATTCCTCAAATCTTTTTGAAGAGATCTTAAAGTGTGCAGTGCTACAAGGAATGCATACTCACTTTGCATATAGCAAGAACAGCACTGGGAGGGAATACAACAGGTTGCAGCTGAAGGCTGACACACCTAGCAACTGAGCTATGCTGCACGTTGCTGCAGGACAGTGCAAACTAACAAAATTCCCTATAAAACTGGGCAGACAAAACTCAAATGTTTTTAGACAGCCGTTAGTTTCTGTTATTACAAGGCGGTACATACTTTCCTCTTGGTCTGGGGGGGATGACCTTACTGCCTCTTATTCTGTCTGCAACCATCATCTCAGTTTGCTTATTACTTTAGATCTCAAATCCCCTCAAGAATTATTAGCAGACATGCAGCACGACCTCTCAACACTACATGCAGCTGGTCACAGTAGCTTGCCCAGCAGGCAAAATATTTTAAACCATTTTAAACTTCTGTAATAGAAACTAATTAGCTCCAATCAATCACAGTAGCCAGTGGGATCATTTGCTGTCGCAGTTCAGCACTCCCACGGATGCGCAGAGTGTAAGCACAGATTAAGAAGGAACTCATCAGAGACAGCACAGCTTTAGTAACAGGCAGATCATCTTTCCCCACCTCTGACCACTGAGATCCCGTCTCCCTGCAAATGGCTTTAGCAAGTGGATTGGCATAGCGAATCCCTGCCACAGCTATTTTCCACAAGTAGGTTTCCCGTCAGTAAGTAAAGAAGTTTCATGCATACCACTTACCTTCTTAATCCTTGCATGTCCAAAACCGTCGGGGAAAGGTGGAAAAAAAACAGAGTCTGTGCTGATGAATAACTAGAAAGTTTTTCCAAACATTACCCTCCGCTAGCACTTCAGTTCCTCTGTCATTTATAGTCCAAAGAATGAAATGGCAAGTAATGGAGAGGATCGGGAGCCGTCTGTACCTCCTCAGACACTGGAGAGAATACAGAGAAAGCACCTGGTTTTGCTTAGTTCTCTTCTGTAATTCAGCATTAAACCAATTGGAGGAGGAATGTTAAAAATGAACACTTCATTTTCTAAGTATGTTAAACAATGCAAATGGGGGCCTCAGCTTGGGACAGCTGGTTTAGATTACAAAGCTCACCAACTGGCTAGACTCCTCACAACAACCTCGAGGAGCCTGCCAGGATAAAACACTAACAGCTTGAAGGAAAGCCTCTCCCGCTGCAAACTTCACAGTTAAATGTGCCTCAGAGCAGAGAGCACCGTTATTGGACAGAAACCCTTATCAAGGGACTGGAGAAGGGAAGGGATTGTTTTCCTTGCTCTGAGAACAAAAAAAAAAGTCAGGCTTTTTGGAGGCCCTCTAGCCGGTGTCCTGGACAATGAATATGCAACACTCGCTGCTCTGTGCCAATGGCATACTGATGAAAGGTCTGACCCTCTGGGAGGTGAATAACTCGAATTCATGATGATCGCAGCTACAGGAACTATATTGCTTGGGGATTATTTGAAAACAGGAATAAACAAATTAAATGTTCAAAGGAAAACAAATGGCTCTCCTGCAAACACTGGCCCTTTTTAAACTGACCCCATGCTTAAGGGAACAGTTTATGATATGAAATATTTCTCAGGAAAAGCATAACTTGCAGATCTCCAGTTATGATTGAAGAGGAAGGAAATAAAGTACTTTTTCAGGTGTTTTGCAACTTTGCCACAGGCAGAGCTTTAGTAGGTCAAGCAGAACATTTATGGGATGCGAGAGGTAAGCAATCAGATGCTGCAAAGATTATGCTAGATCCAAAGATGAACACTGAAATTAAATACAGACATGGACATTAAACAACTACTTTGAATTTCTGTTGAGTCTGCCATTTGAGAAAACCTGGAAATATTATCATACATCTCTCTGTAACAGAGTGAGAAACAGAGAAGTATAGTTGATACAGTTGATATTAATAAAACTAGGCTCCAAGCATGGACACCCAGCTTGAGATATAAAAATTGAGCTGCTTCAGGGTTACTGAGCTGCTTCAGGGTTGCTGAGCTCCCACAAGTTGTATTGGAGCCAATGGGAAGTCCAAGAACTCTGTACCTTGTTAAATGGCTGTAATTGTACAAATTACCTTCCAAAAATGACAGCACCAGAGGCTCGGTGCCATTTCTGACAGTTTCTCTCTCCGTGACTTGCTTGCATCACTTGCATTGCATTGAAAATTAAAACTCTTACTTAGAATTATTCAGTGATAAGGCATTGGCAGATAAACAAGAATGAATTTACTTATTTTAAATAAACTTCCCAAAAGCTTCACAAAAACTCACACGAGGGACTTCTGAAGAAGCTGCTGGGCACAGCTGGGTCAGAAAGCTGGGTTAGAAAGCTGGGTCAGAAAGCAGGCAAGGGAGGATAGAAAGAAAAGACGGCAAATTTTCACTGAGACAAAATGTTGACAGTAAGTATTCTCATTGCCCCACAAGACCAGTGTTTCTCAAAACACTCAGTAATCTGGAGAGCTAAGAGGTCTGAAAGTAGCAGTGCTTAATATTCTAAGTGTGTGAAGATGTAATGAAATCATGAAAAACAGCTTTACAGCAAAGCAGATGCTCTGAGCATCCAGCCATGTGGATGAAAAGCTTTATATCATGATACTCCACTTGCTAATCCACTGAATTTTTCTACCATCACATGGTAAAATCATTGTACACATGCCAGAATCACTGTATGAGTGCAGCACCAGTCCGCTCACAAATAGTTGCCTTAGAGTTCTGATTCATCAGCCAACTGGCAGAGGTCATCCAGCCCTAGAGACAGGAGGTGAATCCAGATCTGACCACCTAAGGGGCTCCCTTAAGAAGAAATACTGTACAAATGTTTTGATTTTTCCTGTCTCCATCTGACAGCTGGAGTGGATAAAAACCAGAGTATAAAAAGTGTACCAAACCACAACTTGGGCTGGTTTACAGCATGGTGACTGTTTTTTTTCCAAAATAAAAGTTATGGCTAAGTGGAGTTTCTGCAGTACCTTTCTGTAACTACCATCAGACACAAAACAATGAGATGCAGCCACAGCCTTCTGACTCCCTTTGCTATCGAGTTGCATAAAGGAACAATCTGTGGCACATAAACCTCCTTTTGTTCATCCTATAAAAATGGACAATTGAATGTGCTGACACCTTCACAATTTATGCTTAAGATGGTAGCTCAACTTCAGGTGTAGTGATGCTCTCACTTTAATGTTCTCAACTATCCCTCATTATAAAATCCATTACTTTATTTAGATTAGTTTGACATTTTCTTTCTCTTCATGAAGAGGTGCAGAACTGTCCCCAGTATAAAATGGGGTTCTGTTACATAACTATGTTCTTAAAAGTTTGCTTTGTGCATGCTTAGGGCTGAAACTATATCTCCAATTATTTTTAAGATTTGAATTTTGAAAATTGTGTAATATATAATCACAAGGGGCACATAAACTGTGTTGTATAGCTTTAACAGCACCCTCCTTGGATGTGATGACTGAATGTATGAATTGAGCTATGCTCCTGCAGATAATACAAAGCACCAGATGAACAGGAACCCTCAGCACCAGAAAACATAATCTGATGGATTCTGAAAGCTAAAACAAAAGCTGTAAATAAGTCAGGGAACCTAAAGAGTTAATTACAATCAGCACTACTTAACAGAAAATCTGCCTCACCAAAACAAGTCATCACCTTCCAACTTTTACAACACTTCATCTCCTTTCAATATTCTGATATTGTTCTTACATTTCTCCAGAACTACACCTATCAAACACCCTTCTTGGATGTTCTTGTCATTTTTCAAAGTTCACCCTCTCTGAATGTTCTCAAGAACACTGTCAAACCATAGGAAGAGTTAAACTATGGGAAGAGTCAAACCCCACAAATCTGTATGGTGGTAGCTCTGTGAGCCCAAAATCATCCAAAGTGCCACGTCACAGACATTTCTTATCCAGACACACAGACCTAAATTCATTAAAGGAATTTGCCAATAACTGACACTTTAAGACTCTGCATGTCCAAGATTTAGATGCTAAAAACATTCATTTTGCTCCTACCAAATCTTATGGAACCAAATGTTTTTACAAGCAAAAATGGTAAAACACTCAACTTCTGGGCACTTGCAGGAACAATTGCATTTTGATAGCGTCTAAGATGCAGGAGATTCACAAGTTGGGCTTTTGCCTGACTGAGAGATTGATCTAAGTGTTCTTGGAGACTGCCAAATAAGCAAGCTTCTTATATCATCACATGTTGATATGACAGGCAGAGGTTCGAAACCCACACATCTCACCCTACTGCCACATGAATAGCACCAAGCCTATGGGAAACCTGGCCTCAAACCCTCATTCTGCCTGACAAAGACTCACTTCTTTAATCTCCCAGGGAAGAACCTCAGTTGCGAACTCCCGGTGTTTGGGGAGGGTTCCCTATAATTTTTCAAAGACAGGCTATCTTAGATTATCAGTTCAGGTCTGCATCATCCAGTGTACGAATTGTAATTGTTATCTCATAACAGAATGATGCAATAACCCGTTCCAGATGGCCCAGGCCAGAAGCTCAAAGGCACAGTCCTACACATATTTTCCTTTCCTAGCCAAACATAACACAAGCAAGAATTAAAGTGAAAATTAATATAGTATGTAATTGTAAAAACTTCACTACTGCTAATTAAAATGTACTGGAAATGTGCAGTCCCTGAGATGCTGTGGTGTGTTGATCTGCAACTCACAATGTTTTTAGGAAGAAGAAAGAGTAACAGTTCCTGTTGTGCTGCTGTCTCTTGGGGCTCAGTTGCCTCAATAGAGTACAGTTACCACCCATGTGAGATACCCATGGAAAAAAAGACATCCCTTCCTTCCCTCCTGTGCAGGGCGTCACCTGTGTGTCTGAGGCAATGTTCCTTTGGGATGATGATACCACTGATTGCACTGCTCCCAAAGAACAGCAAGCTGAGCACCACTGCAATGTTGTAGCAGGTGGAATCACAGTGCCCAACCACAACACTTCAAGCCTTTATTCTACTTTATCTAACTCTACATCTTTGTCCTGGTTTCAGCTGGGGTTAAACCCTAACAATCTTATACCTGTTAATCTCTTTACAGGTCTGTGGTCACTCTGATACCAGTTAACAGCACAAATTCTTTTAGGACAAAAGTTATAAGTGGAAAACCCAGGCACCACTGGATCCTTTCTGAAACGTAACAATGCTAAACATGGACTAGGATCTGACTTCACTTTATTGCTTTGAAAACATGTTAATCGTTTCATTAGATGAGGAACAGTAGGATCTAGCAGGTGCATACCAAAATCCAAACAGTTAAAACTATGCCCAGTGAACTGCATCTGCTGTAAGACAAAACTATTTCGGGTATATTACCTTTAGTGAGACCAGGTTTGATGTTCACGATCACCGGTTTAACTGTAGCGCTTTCTAGGACAGTCCAGGAAGATGCCTCAGGCAAAAAAAAATAGAGCAATATAATTGAAAGAATGCTTCAGCATTGTCTAATGTTTTTTTAACCCAATAAAAGTACGATAAGCAAGTAAACTAGAAGCTTTTTATAACTTTCTCAGGAAAAATACAGAGTCTTTCTCAGCATTTTTGGTGCATGTGACAACTCTCAGCGGGTCCCTTCCTATTATTAGTAATTTGCAACAGCCTGTAACTTTCTTCTTGAGTTTTCAATCCTTATGTGACCAATATATATGCTTTTAAAACTATTTTCCTGTTAAGGGTATATGGAACATCATCCTGTACCTACACACAAAAGCCATACTTGAGAACTTATATCTCCCCCTTGGTTCCTCTATCTGAGAACATGGTGCCCTGGCCACTGTTCATATTTTTACTTGTTTTACTGTTGAATGTCATCCTTGAGCATAGCTCTGGTTATTGCAGTTCACATTTTGCCTGAAACTAGACATATTTTAGGTTGGCTTTGTTTATTTTATAAGATTGACATGTACATAAACAGGGCTGTGGCCTTTTCTCCTCTGCATTTTTGTCAAACGGTCTAGACAATGTGGTTGAAAACAATGATCTTTAATCTTGTGACAAAATGTTTACCAGCCCCTTTTAATAGCAAGCATAAATTCTTTATGGCCAGTTTCAGCTAATAATGACCTTCCATAAATAAAGACCTAAACCTCTTAATACTCCTGGACCAAGACTAAAGTCTGTTTCACTGTTGGAGCAAGCCAACATT